GTCAAACTGGCAGATTAAGCAAAGATCAGAGTGTTTGGTTATTGATGTCTGTTAAAAGGGAGAGGTTTGGGGTTTTCATAACTTTAGAGCAAAGATAAACTCTGAAGGACTTTCCAGGATGTGATTACATGATCCTTACAAAACATTTATTCTTAGACAAAAATAAACCATCATCCATCAGAGAGGTTCTATTAAAATAATTTATTGTATCTGCAGGTCAGATAATAATCAGGTCTGGATTCACTGGGAAAATTAGCTCAGATTCCTAAAAACATGTGGTTTAATCAGAGTTAGTTCATGATTTAATAAAGGGGTGTGAATATTTGCTCCATCTTATGAGTGTGTTAAGTTGTGTCATCTTTTGATTTTTTGCACCTTTTTTGTACTGGCGCACATGAGTGGTGGCAGCTGGTCTTTGGGCCGGGTCAGAATCTGGTAAAGCAGTTTGGATATCCTGAAAAAGTTGGGATTTGACCGATTGTATGACAGGAAACCGGCTCAGCTCACTTACAATGTTTGGAGGTTTGTCTTTGAGTGGCTGGACAGGAGCTATTTCAGCTGGATTCATCGTGTTTCCTTGTTCAGCAGTTATGACCTGGTTGGTTTGAGTTGAATTTGAGGTTTGGTTATTCTGCAGTCCTTCGTCCCTTTCTTTAATTAGATTAGTCTTGTTTCTATTTTACTTTAATTTCTTGTTATTCTTGCTATTTCATGTTTCTCTGGTCCGTTACAATGTGGTATCTTACACCCGTCTCCATCCAGAATGTGTCTGGCCCCCGGGTTCTGCAGAACAGGACATTACCTGTCCGGATCACTACAAGAAAATTTACAAAAACCAGAATATGAAATACAGCGGTCCTAATTCAAACCTCAGAGTGATCCCCTGCCTAAAGGAACCTCAGACTGAAAATCTTTTGGCCTCCAAGCCACTTAAAGTAGCTCTTTAAATACCAGATCACTCTGTGCTAAAGCTCTGTTAAATTAATGATTTCATCACCGAGTATAATGTTGATGTTATGTTTCTGACAGAAACATGGTTGAATGACAATAATGACCAAATTGTACTCATTGAATCAGCGCCTCCTGACTACAATGTTTTGAGTGAGAATAGAAAACATAAAAAAGGAGGAGGCGTGGCTTCTATATTTAAAAATACCATAAACTGTAGTAAAATCTCTTTGGGTCATTTCAGTTCTTTTGAGTATCTTGGAATTCAGGTTAAAGGCTTCAAACGACTTTGACACTAACTTTATACAAAACTCCAACATATGTGGAAAATTTCTTTACTGACTTGAATGATCTTCTTTCTCTCATATGCATTGATTATGATTGTTTAATATTGTTGGCGATTTCAACATTCATGTGGACAAACCTGAACACAGAGGAGCAAAAAAGCTCTCTGATATTTTAGAAAAATTTTGGTTTAACACAACATGTCAAACAAGCAACACACTCAAGGACACACACTGGACTTGGTTATCAGTAAGGGTGTGGATATTTCCAATGTCTGTAACTGATGTCGCCTCGGATCCTTTGCTGTTATCTTTGAAATTGTTTATTCTTGACCCACTTGGACAAACAGCTACTGTCACAAAACGTTCTTTCACAGAAAACACAGCAGAAACATTTAATCAAATCTACTCTTCCTCCTCACCCTTAAGCTGTAATGATGTAGATCAGTTGGTAGATGATTTCAGTCTAAAGTTTCATATATTATTGATTCTATTGCTCCAATTAAGTAAAGGTTTTGACTGGTAGAAAGAAATCTCCATGGAGAAAAGCACAAATAGTTCGGTCTGCAAGACAACTCTGCCGCAGGGCAGAACGACAATGGCGTTAAAACTCAACTTCATGTTCATCACGACATCTATAAAGAAAAACTACGTAACTATACTTAACACTAAAACATGGAAGGGAGGCTTTCTTTGCAGATGTCATAAACAAAAACATCAACAATGTTCGAACTTTATTTGCAACAGTTGACAGGCTCACAAACCCTCCTGTGACGTTTCCACTGAATTCCAATCTAATGTTGCCTGTAACAAGTTTTCTGATTTCTTTTCAGAGAAATCCAAAAAATCAGAGAATTAATCTGCACATCAACTTCAAAGCCAGAACCATTGCTGTACCAAAACAAAACAAATACAGAAAAAATGACCACTATCAACTAGTTCATTATAAAACCCTAGAAGAAATTATAAGTCAATTAAGTTCAAGCTCCTGCTATCTGGATGTTCTAGATCTATAACTCTAGAACATTTCTTTAAGAAAGTCCTGCTTGTTATTGCTACTGATCTGATCCTAATAGTAAACTCATCGCTTACATCAGGCGTTTTCCCCCAGGCTTTGAAAACAGCAGTCATCAAACCTCTGCTAAAAAAGAACAACCTGGACAAATCACTATTACAGAATTACAGGCCAATCTCAAACCTCCCATTCATCAGCAAAGTTATTGAAAAAACTGTGTGTAAACAATTAAATAGTTTCCTCATGATGACCAACTGCTTTGACACTTTCCAGTCTGGTTTTCGTGCTCACCACAGCACGGAGACTGCCCTCGTAAAGTATTCAATGATATCCATATAAATACGGACTGTGGGAGAACCACGGTGCTGGTTCTGTTGGACCTCAGTGCAGCTTTTGACACTGTCGACCATGACATATTACTGAATCGACTTGAAAGTTGGGTTGGACTCTCTGGTTCGGTGCTCGACTGGTTGAATCCTACATAAAGAACAGGAATTTCTTTGTTTCAATTGAAACAACTTATCAAGAGGTCAAAGGTCACATGTGGGGTACCCCAAGGTTCAATCTTAGGACCCCTCTTATTTAATATTTATATTCTCCCACTAGCTCAGGTCATAACAGGAAATATATTAGCTACCATAACTATGCAGATGATACTCAGCTCTACATTACGATGTCACCAGGTGACTCTGAACCCATCCAATCACTGAATAAATGCTTAGAGCAGATAAATGTGATGTGCCAAAACTTTCTCCAACTGAACAAAAATAAAACTGAAGTCATTATTTTTGGACCTAAAGAGGAACGATCTAGAGTCAATGCACAGCTTCAGTTATTACAACTAAAAACTAGCGATCAGGCCCGAAACCTGGGAGTAGTGATGGACTCGGACTTGAACCTCCAGAGCCACATAAAGACAGTAACAAAATCAGCCTTCTATCACCTGAAGAACATCTCCAGGATTAGAGGACTAATGTCTCAGCCAGATCTAGAGAAACTCATTCATGCGTTTATCTTTAGTCGCATTGATTATTGCAACAGCATCTTCACAGGCCTGTCCAACAAATCAATCAAACAGCTGCAGCTGATCCAGAATGCTGCTGCTCGCGTTCTCACTAGAACCAGGAAGATAGAGACATAACACCAGTTTTAAAGTCCCTCCACTGGCTCCTTGTAGCTCAGAGAATAGATTTAAAATACTGTTGTTAGTTTACAAATCAATGAACGGTTTAGCACCACAATACATCAAAGATCTGCTGTTGTTGTATCAACCTTCCAGACCTCTCAGGTCTTCTGGTTCTGGTCTGCTCTGCATCCCCAGAACCAGAACCAAAGAGGAGAAGCAGCTTTCAGCATCTATGCACCAAAAATTTGGAACAAACTTCCAGAAAACTGTAAAACAGCGGAAACCCTGACTTCCTTCAAATCTCAAGTAAAACGCACCTGTTTAGAATTGTATTTGAAATGTAATATGTATGGATTTGATTTTGTGGATATGTATGTATCTTTTTTTCCTGTTGTGGGCAACGGGCCCGGCGAATACCCGTGGTTAAACGGACAGCGGAGTCCGGCGGTAACAGGCGCTTAAATTCCGTGACAAAGGGAAGGAAAAAAAAAAAACTTGGTATTTTATTCTATGTTGCATGCCTTTGTGTTTTGTGTTTATGATGTAAAGCACTTTGAAATGCCTTGTAGCTGAAATGTGCTATACAAATAAAATTTGATTGATTGATTGATACAGCAAAATAAGGAAACCAGCTTTTCTTTTCTCTGGGCTCATTTCATCATGGAGATTTATCAACCTGCCTCTGATTTTACAGCAAACCTTCTGCTGCTCAGAAAGAAGACACTACAAACCAGGTGTGCCGTCAAATAATCACTTATGCAACACTTTTCACACATTGAGTTTGAACTTTGAGTTGTTCAGTAAAAGTCCAGATCTGTTGTCTCTGTACAGGTGTGGCATTAGTCTGAGTCTACCGTGGCTCTATTAGGTCTCAGTTTGGTGTTCAGACATTCTTCAACTTTTTGAACCGTATAAAGAAACTGTAAGTTTGCTTGGTTTCCTACTTAAACTTTGTCTACTGGAACCTTTTTATATGTTTCTGATGTTTGGAGAAGAAGCATCACTTCTGACTTCCACTCAGTTTGATCTCTCTTCTGTTTGAAGGTTAATTTACACTATTTGATTACTAATGAACAAGATCAAACAACATGATGAGCAGCTGGTGTTTCTATGTTTTCTTTTCTGCTTCATGTTTTTACCTCCATGAGTAAAACTGTTATCAGGAACAAAAGTTTCTTGTTGCATCCTTCAAAATAATGAATATTATGTATTATTTTTACTAAATATTATTGTTGAAATGTGTTCAAGTGATTATAATACTTTTATGCAGAAAATAATCCGCTTGTAGAGTTTAATAATTAACTGACTAAATCACTTCCTGTTGTTCAGGTTGAATCAGTGAATGTAAATGTTGCTCCATGTCTCCATCTAGTGGACTGATAGTAGAAGTGCAGCAGCTGATGGCAGCTTCCTCTGCCTCTCTGCTGTCTGACTGCATTCACCTGACACTGATATGAAGCAGAAGAAGAGCCAATCAGAGGAGGAGCAGCTGATCTTTTTCCAGCACTAATGATGTAAAGGATGATCAGAGTTGATGTGCAGATGAATGATGTGTGTTTCCTCTGCAGGTGAAGCTAGAAAGTGTGTGTGAGCTGATGTGGATTCAGCAGCATGGATCAGTGTGAGGACAGAGGAGGGAGTCCCTCCCTCTAAAACCACTCTGTGTGGGGAAGATGAGAGCCAGAGCAAAGGTCAGAGGTGAGGTCACCATCTCTAACTGTCCACAGCCCTTTTCACACAGCGTTCACTACATCAGGCCAAAACAGACGTGGTGATGAAGCTGCTGCTGCTCCTCTTTGCTGATTCAGTTTTAATCATCATGTTTCTGTCAGGATCCATCAGAGACTCAAACCAGAACCAGAACCAGAACCAGAACCCAGCTGTGTGTCCTTTAAGAGCGACAAGTCAAGGGTCAGTTCATTGACTTTAAATCTCCTGGATCTCCACCATCAGAGAGGTGAGCTGTTTCTAACTGCTGTAACTTCTGTTTATATCTGTTATTGTGGCCATGTGATGATAAGTTCTGTTGGGAAGGGAATGCTAGGTTTGAAGGAGTTCTTATTGTCATACCACATTTGCTTGTTTGTGGTAAGAAATTTGATCTCAGGACCCATATTAAGAAATGTAATACACAAATAAAAAATAAATAACTATTAAAGTAGTTAAATATATATATATAACTTTAAAAGTCATATTTCACTAATTTATGAGATGTAGCTGAATTAGTTGCAGTTGCAGAGTTCATGCAGTCTGAAGGGAAGACACTGAGTAGGAACAGTGACATCCTGGTAAAAACTTGGTAGAGGATCCATCAGTTTTATGTGATTAAAGTCTCCCACAGCCACATAAAATGCCTCTGCATGCTATTGATATGCTAATGGTGTCATGCAGCTTCTTTGATACCGTTGGAGATTTTCAACTCTCCAGTTAAGGTTCGCTGATGCTGGAGATTCCAGAAGAGTCAGTGAGTTAAACTCAACCAAGGTTGAGACGTATTTCCTGCCGATACTCTACAATCGGAATGGAAAGCTACTTACAGGCACGGGAAGAGCTTCTCTGCCCTGATACTCTGTACTGGGCCGTCGGTTCAACTCCCGGTATTCTGCGCCGGATGAGCGGGTTCCATCTGCCCCTTGCTCCGCAGTGTGCAAGTTTCCGCAGGCTGCAGACTGCACTCTACACTCTTCCCATCCAGGTTCCTTTTATTTTGGCTCTAATCAGCATCTGCTGACACCTGTTCAGGTGGCCAATTGGTGCGCTCTGCCTTCCTAGACAACCACTTTCAGTCCAGTGCATTTGGATTGTTAAAGGGGAAAAAAGGAAAAAGAAAAGCAACGAACCCAAAAACAATCTGTACATGCAAAGCAGAAAAACAATAAACCATAGGAAAAAACACAATCATATTTTCTCCTGCACAACATAGCGGGCAACAAAAATCACTTTTCCAGTTTCATCTCTACTTTTAACATCATCTAATTTGGCAGATTATCAGTCATTTCTACAGTTAAACTAAATAATATCTCATGTAGATCTCATTCTTCGGTGAGCTTTGTGTCTGACCATCTGGTTCTGATTGAAGCTCCATCAGATCCTCCTTGGATGGTCAGAGTGGAAATGATTCCTGGTTCTGCTTCATGTCAGAGCTCAACACTAAGATCACCAAACTGTTCTCTCAGTCATTTCAAACTAACATGTTGGTCTCAGAAACAAATCTTTCTGCTCTTTAAATAAGGTTGGACATTATTCAGGAGGATCAATGATCAGGAACATGTTGGAGGATTGGACCGGTTCTGATCATTTAGATCATCAAGTTGATGATTTGTCTGGTTCTGTTAGCCAGACAGATCATCAACTGATGAGCCACATTGGAAAAACAATCTTTAAAGCATAACCACACAGAAAGTTTTTAATGAGAGTTTTTCTATCAGGATCCATCAAAGAGTCAAGCCAGAACCAGAACCCTTTAAGAGAAACAGTCCAATGCGTCGTTGGGTTAAATCTTGTGGACCTCCATCATTGGAGAGGTGAGCTGCATCTGACTTCTGTATCTTTGGAACTGAAACAGTAAGCACTCAGATATGCCCAGTTATATTCACAAAGTGAGGTTTATCCATTATCTACCAAAATCAGATCCTCTGTTCTAATGAAAACACCTACATATCTTCATTTCTGGGTGTTGATGATGTTTTGCTGCTTCCTGGCTCCATGTCAGACTAAAGCCCCTTTTTTAGGGTTAGGCCCAGCCATGCTTCGGTCCTGTCCCACCTGTACTGCAGCCCTGTTGTGTTTGCATATATTTGAGCATGGTATCGAAGCTGTACCTGACGACAGTTTTTAAACTAAACAATGGGGTCCACAATTGTTTATTACCCCCAGTTGGTGGGGGTAATGCTTTCTTTAGTTATTTGCCAACTGGCAATGTAATGAAGAAGAAGAAAAAGGCTACTTACTACTATGAAGATGCTATCAGTTTAGAAAAACTGAAATTTATTACATACTTGGTTTTCTCATATTAGCAGTCATAAATTCAATTAATTTTGCCAACGATAAAGCAACAACTGCGTTTTTGGCCACTTCTTGATTCCTTGCATCCAGTTCTTCCAGCAGAAGGCATTCTCCAACCTGCAAGCTTAACGTATGTCCTCTGGCAGTATGTTTACATGGCGGTCGTGCTTTGCCCAATTTTCCTTTTTCTCTTCTCTTATGGCCAGAAGTAAATCCGTGTTGGCTGAGCATTTGTGATGAGGATCTGAAATAAATGAGAAGAGTAAAACTGTTATATTACACAAAAACATCTTTATGAAATAAATAAATCAATAAATCGATACCAAGAAAGAACGAGTGTCGTAACCATTGCACCATGTTCACACTGGTCTGTCGAGCTGGAAGAAGTGGAAGCCGTGAACACTGCACTGAAAAAAATAAGTCATTGGATGAACATAAAAAAATTATGGAAAGGATTTCCACCTGATTACTTTGCTTTATTTCAGCACCATGTACTTGTGTTACTCCTATTTAAAGCAAATGTGTTAGGTCAACCTAATTTATTAAGATTATTCCAATGTAAAGCAAATGTGTTGGCTCCACTTGTTACAATGGTGATTCAATGGGTGATTCTAAATCAAACATAATAACTCAAAACATAATAACTTTATTTAGCTCAACGTAATATATTGTGGTTATTCTTATATAAATAAAATGAATTGGCAAAACATAATTCATTAAGGTTGTTCTAATTTAAACCAAATATGTTGGCTTAACCAGAATTATGGTAAGGCAATGGATGATTGTAAATCAAATGAGTTGGCTCAACTCCATTCATTATGGTTATTCAAATTCAAATGAAATGTGTTGGCTCAACATATGTTTTTAAAGGTTCCTTTAACTCAGTTACTATAGCGTGACCCAGTGTAATGCAATACAGCCAGCCAACTAATCTGCAATGTTTAGGACCAAATCATTGATGTAACTTCATTAAGATGAATGTAAATCTAGTTGAAACCACCTTATTTTACAGTGGTACCTTCACACTACCTGATTCAGTAGGTCCAACTCACTAAAAGCAAGTTAGCTCAACAAATATGCTTCATGCTAAAAGACAGCTAGTTAATCGTGTGGAAATCCTTTCCATTATTTCATGACGTTAATTCAAAGACATATTTTCAAGCGTTAATCAAGCATTTTAAGATAGCACTAGGTGAAAGTGTAGGAAGAACACTCAACAATTAGAAAAGGTACAACACAATTGTATTTTCAGAATTGTTATACATCGTTTTTTTTATACAGCACAAAACACAGCTGAGTTGGACATTGAAATAAAAAACAACTACAAAAAGGTTACAGTTTCATTTCCCAGCCAATTCTTTACAACATAAAACATGTCAGTATAGTTGCTCAACTTAGAGAACTGTAACAATATAAATCTTTTCTACTGCAGACTTTAAACACTCATTTTCCATATGAAACTTTGCTCAACTTAGCAGCGAGTTTCATATTGAGAACTTGTGCTTTCTTTGATAAGTTCTTTCCATCCAATTTCATTATTATTTTCTGTATTACTTCAAAGGTATGCTTGAGTTACTGAGCAAGTTGAGTGCTGAACGCACTAAACTTGAGGGTAGCTCAAGTTTAGTGCATAGATTAGTCCCAGCAGCATCACTATTGCAGAAGATACACTGCCAAGCTGTTCATAACTTCCACCTCCTCCAGGACAATCCAACATCCAGATGTGCATCAGCAGCCTCTGCACCGTCTGCTCAAATGACAACGATTCCGAGGACACCTCGGCTTTGGCCATTTCTGCGCATTCATCAACGTCCTAAGGGAGTTAGGGAAGGGTATTGGGGGAGACAATTCACATGTAATTAAATAAATAAATTAGACTGACATTGATTGAGTCACTCATGGACCTTAGTTGGTGAAAGTATTTTAACAACTCTTAGGAGTTCTATTGTAACACAAGAGAATTTAACATACCATGTACTCCCTCACCAGCTTCTCTGGATCTTCATACATATATATGATATATATATATATATATATATATATATATATATATATTATATATATATATATATATATATATATATATATATATGTTTTTTTTTATTCTATTCAATATCAATATTTGTCAAAGTTAATCTAATAAAAAAAATATATAAATATATATATATATATATATATATATAAATATATATATATATATATATATATATATATATATATATATATATATATATATTATATATTGACAAATATTGATATTGAATAAAAAAAAAAACATATATATATATATATATATATATATATAATATATATATATATATATATATATATATATATATATATATGTTTTTTTTTATTTTATTCAATATCAATATTTGTCAAAGTTAATCTAATAAAAATATATATAATATATATATATATATATATATATATATATATATATATATATATATATATATATATATATATATATATATATATATATATATATATATATATATATATATATATATATATATATATATATAATATATATACAGCCAAGATACTGCGCAGGACCCTCAAGCTCCCAGGCCTCTGGTAGAGGCCTGGGAGCTTGAGGAATTAGATGTATTCAAGTTGAGATAACGTCATTCAATAACGTTAGTCCAGTTGAGAGAAAAAAAAACGATTGTCTCGCGTGTTCTCGCGTGATATCCCGTGATCTCACTCGTTGTCGTCAGCACAATATCAGTCTAACTATAATGAATCATGTTAGCTCAACATGATTCAATTTTATAAATGTGAAGTCGTGGAATATCTTGTTTATCCAACATGATTTTATCACGTTTTCGCTTCAAACCCAACATTATTGTGTGAAAGGTACATGATATTTTTTTGTTAATGTAATACGCCCCGACGTTCTTTTTTTTTTGGCGGAAGATCTAGCTGACGTAATTGAATCACGTTATCTCACCTTGAATACATTTTATTCCATTTGCGAGAAAAAACCGATTGTCTCGCGTATTCTCGCGTGATATCCCGTGATTTCCCGTAATCTTGCGTGAACTTGCGTGATATCGCGTGATCTCACTCGTGGTCTTCAGCATAGGATCGGTCTGACTATAATGAATCATTTCGCTCAACATGATTCAATTTTATAAACGTTGAAGTTGTGGAATATCTTGTTTTTGCAACATGATTGTATCATGTTTTTGGCTCAAACATGCAATTATTTAGTTAACAGTACATGATATTCTTTTGTTAATGTGATAACCCCTGAGGTTCCTTTTTTACAGTGTGAGGGAGATCTTGGTGAAGATCTCGGAGGGGATGATGATGGTGACATTGATGAACCTGGAATGTCAGCGGGTCCTGGGAATCCAAATCCTAATGTAAACTTTCTAAAAAGAACAGGAAAAAAAAAAACTTCAGCTTGATATTCACCATAGCCTATTCTGCTAGTTATGAAGCAACAGACAAGACTATACACACCACAGCCTTACAACCTGTTTTGCAAGCATAACATTACAAATAAGCTTTTATAGCTAATTGGCTCAAAGTGAAATGTACAATGGTGACTTACACTGTACATAAAACTTACCATCAATCATGTTCTCCAATAAGATGGTAGCCAAATCGAGGGAACTTTCCCTGCCGCTACTTGACAACTGACGTCCATAGACGGCTTCCATCTTATTGTACCACCGCCAGTCTTTCCAACCTGTTCCACTCCAACAGTTGTTGTCCTTAATTGCCCGGTAATCAAAATTCAGCTTATTCAACTTCTCTCTACACTGTTTGGAACTTCTGATGTAGCTGGCCGAAGCCATTTCCTCATAGATGCGGTGGAAAACTTTCTTATTCCCCGTTGACACATCTAGCTCATTCTGTACTTTTTCATCACCATCTAAGCTGAGGAAAAAAATTACCTCACCATGAGACCAGGTAACAGCAGAATATTGGGAGGAATCCAATAATAATAAAGATACTAAAAAGAGCACTCTTTACATAATGCAGTAAGAAAAGTTTAGTGAGAGCCAGCTAGAACCAATGAACGGCTGACTCCAAACCAATCAGCTACTGAATCTAAAGCAGCCCACTTGCCGGCCCAATTAGAACCAAAGCTCTTGTGGTTCTAAGGAGCTGGGTGGGACCAGGTTGGACGTTCTAATGCAAAAACGCTCGGACCTACTTTGAAGCCAGGCCGACATGGGTCAACCCTGGTTTAGCTGTGCAGTGCAATAGGGGCTTTACAGTGGAACATATTTTCATAACCCACTGGGAAATACCTGGTAAAGCCATTCTGGTCCATCAGGACTTGGATCCTGTGTGCATTGTGAGAGCAGTTCAGCAGGGAAGGAAAGCTTCATGATGTGGTTGGTGAGATCTGCTGGAACTCAACCAAACTGAGCTGATGTGGACCATCAGAGGTTCTGCTGGTTCTTAATGGGATCAGCAGGAACATTAAATCTTTACAACTACTTAGATCACCTGGTTCTCTGCTCACATCCAGATATCACTTCATGGTGATATTTGGAGTGATATAATGTCTGAACATTATATCTGTCCACACTTTTGATTGTCTATGTGGACAGATACAATGTGCGCTCACTGGATTCCAGGGATCTACAGGATCCATTTTAAAATCCTAACTATAACATCCAGGAGAGGATCCCACATGGACACACCCACATATTTCAGACCTCCTCCATGTCCACATCACCTCAGATCTAGTCATCAGAACCTGATGGATGTCCCACACTGTCCTGAAGACCTGTGTGGACAGAGCCTTCACTTCCACTGTCCCCAAGCTCTGGGAAACTGTCTCCATCAGCATCAGATCTGATGACAGTTTGGACTGTTTGAGTCCAAGTTCAGCACCAACTTTTTAAAATGTCTCCTGGGTAATTCTGGTGTTAACGGTCCTCATCCTTATTGTTCATCTTTCTCTTTCTAACTTCTTTGTAATGAGTTTATACAATTATTTGCTTTTCTGCTTTAAGGACTTTTAATGTGAAATTCTTCATGATTTCCTCTGTGTAAACTGCTGGATGCATATTTTCTGACTTCCTAATTGTTCCTTGTTCCACCACAGAGTGGACCAGCAGTTCTCAGAGGTTCCCAGTGGTCCATATGACCAGCATGATCGAATACATCTGGACTCCATATTTACGGTGTGTAGATGTACAACAACTACTTTTCTGTTCACAGTCATCTTCATGCTGCACTTTGTGGATAAGAGGACTGTCAGTCTGTCCAATATCTATCTGGTGTTTGGCTCCATGTTTTCAGTCTGATGCAAAGGTAGCGCTAGACTTTCTTGCAGTTTGTCAGTTTGACTTACAGAATCAAAAGAAACCCTGTAACATTCTATTTTTACCCATCAAATTATAATTGATCTTGACATAGGTTACACAGACGCAATTTTTTGTGGATTAGTTAATATTCAACTATTGAACTGTGAATCGAGATCTCATCACACATACAGCAGATGAATGCATCAAACTTTTCCTCTGCAGGGACAAGAATCACTTACTGTTGCCCCAATGACGTAGAGTAAAAAGAAATAAGCAACTGCATATAAATTACAAGCACTTCACCCAGTGAAGGTCTGAACACACAGTTCCTCACAACTGTGTTCCTGGTCTGCATCTACAGATAAGTCTGTGCTGGTAAGTTAGCCAGTGGGATCTCTCTGAACCAACCATGTTACCTTTCATTTGAGGCCTGAGACTCAATTAAACAAAGTATATTATACTTTTATTTGGTCTACCATTTGAGTAAGTAGTGCAACTTCTCTTTTATCTTTTTTCATCCTCCTGCTGTCTTGAGAGCCAGGATTTTTTGAACCACACAAGCTCTTTTTAATCCTGTGCATAGTCAGGGTGCATGCTTTTACTAAGATATTTTTCTGTGGTTTTTCTTCTCCGAAACTGACAGATGTACAACTGTGAAATCTGCTGCACTCCTCCTGAGCCTTACACAAAGATCACTGGAGGGCCATTTGTTAAAACTGCATGGTGTTTTAAGTTCACATATCAGCAGTGGCTGAACTTCGTGCCCATTAATTATATAATAAAGAACTCACTGAAATTTTTATACTTGGATTAACCTAAAATTTCCTCAAGACAAACTGTCAGCTCACCTGTTTCGACTATAAATCCAGTATTACATGATGGCATTTGCTTTAGTTTTCTCTATTCTATGAATTAGAGATTGGAAATAAAAATGATATTTCAACCAAAGGTTGGAATTAACTGAATCTCCAAAGCATCCTGTCCATAATTCTTCAATGTGCAGTAATCTCCCAGGTGCCAAGATTCATTTAGTTCAGTCCATGAGATATTCAAAAAGGATTGTTTTAATTGATTGAATTTAGATTCCTCTATAATGTATTTGGTGCAAAAAGTTTATAATGTCTGTGCATCAGCCAACGGCGTGAATTGTAACCTGTCACACTGATGCATGGGCTTAGAATTTTTCCTTCATTTAAAAAGAAATCTGGTCAAATACAGAAAATATTCCATAAACACAATCCTTGCATTGATGTGTCGTTCATCTATTATTTCATTCCAGTCGCTAGAAAACAAGATCATCACTTTTGTGAAGGATGAGCTGAAGCAGATCCATAAGGTTCTAAGTCCAGATGACCCAGAATGCTCAGAGAGCCCAAGAAAAGTTGATGATGTGTCAGAATGTGAGGATGAAGAGCAGAGGAATAGCATTAGAGAGGCACTGATGAAGATCACACTGAGCTTCTTGAGGATGATGAAACAGGAGGAGATGGCTGACCGTCTGCAAAGCAGTAAGACGATTTCTACAAAGATATGACCAGATGGATAAATTACATAATTATTAATGTCTTAAGAAACATGGTCACATTTATTCTAATCATCTTCAGAAAATGATTTTGTTTAGTTACTGATTTTACTTTTTGTGACATATTAGAACACTATGGTGCAGTTTGTCAATATCAACTTAAATCTGGTCTGAAGAAGAAGTTCCAGTCTGTGTTTGAGGGGATTGCTAAAGCAGGAAGTCCAACCCTTCTGAACCAGATCTACACAGAGCTCTACATCACAGAGGGAGGGACTGGAGAGGTCAATGAGAACATGAGGTCAGACAGATTGAAACAGTATCCAGGAAACCACACAGACCAGAAACAACAATCAGACAAGAAGACATCTTTAAAGTCCCACCTGGAAGAGATCAACCAATCAGAACAGTGATGACAAAGGGAGTGGCTGGCATTGGGAAAACAGTCCTAACACAGAAGTTCACTCTGGACTGGGCTGAAGACAAAGCCCACCAGAACATCCACTTCATATTTCCATTCACCTTCAGAGAGCTGAATGTGCTGAAAGAGAAAAAGTTCAGCTTGGTGGAACTTGTTCATCATTTCTTTAGTGAAACCAAAGAAATCTGCAGCTTTGAACACTTCCAGGTTCTGTTCATCTTTGATGGCTTGGATGAGAGTCGACTTCCACTGGACTTCCACAACAAGGAGATCCTGACTGATGCTACAGAGTCCACCTCAGTGGATGTTCTGCTGACAAACCTCATCAGGGGGAAACTGCTTCCCTCTGCTCTCCTCTGGATAACCACACGACCTGCAGCAGCCAATCAGATCCCTCCTCAGTGTGTTGGCATGGTGACAGAGGTCAGAGGGTTCAATGACCCTCAGAAGGAGGAGTACTTCAGGAAGAGATTCAGAGATAAGAAACAGGCCAGCAGGATCATCTCCCACATGAAGACATCACGAAGCCTCCACATCATGTGCCACATCCCAGTCTTCTGCTGGATCACTGCTACAGTTCTGGAGGATGTGTTGGAGACCAGAGAGGGAGGAGAGCTGCCCAGAACCCTAACTGAGATGTACATCCACTTCCTGGTGGTTCAGACCAAAGTGAAGAAGGTCAAGTATGATGGAGGAGCTGAAACAGATCCACACTGGAGTCCAGAGAGCAGGAAGATGATCAAGTCTCTGGCAAAACTGGCTTTTGATCAGCTGCAGAAAGGAAACCTGATCTTCTATGAATCAGACCTGACAGAGTGTGGCATCGATATCAGAGCAGCCTCAGTGTACTCAGGAGTGTTCACACAGATCTTTAAAGAGGAGAGAGGTCTGTACCAGGACAAGGTGTTCTGCTTCGTCCATCTGAGTGTTCAGGAGTTTCTGGCTGCTCTTCATGTTCATCTGACATTCATCAACTCTGGTGTCAACCTGATGGAAGAAAATCATCCATCATTTTTCTCTACAGTTTTTAGCCAATCAAATATAAATGTTCTCTATCAGAGAGCTGTTGACCAGGCCTTACAGAGTCCAAATGGACACCTGGACTTGTTCCTCCGTTTCCTCCTGGGACTTTCACTGCAGACCAATCAGAGACTCCTACAAGGTCTGGTGACAAAGCCAGGAAGTAGGTCACAGACCAATCAGGAAACAGTTCAGTACATCAAGAAGAAGATCAGTGAGAATGTGTCTGCAGAGAAAAGCATCAATCTGTTCCACTGTCTGAATGAACTGAATGATCGTTCTCTAGTGGAGGAGATCCAACAGTCTCTGAGTTCAGGAAGTCTCTCCACAGATAAACTGTCTCCTGCTCAGTGGTCAGCTCTGGGTTTCATCTTAGTGTCATCAGGAAAAGATCTGGATGTGTTTGACCTGAAGAAATACTCTGCTTCAGAGGAGGTTCTTCTGAGGCTGCTGCCAGTGGTTAAAGCCTCCAACAAAGCTCTGTAAGGAAACACATTGTTATTGCATTTATTTTTTGATCAAGAAAAATCTGCTAATGGTGGGGAAAGTATGGATTCATATTTCTGTTTACTCACCAGTGCATTGTCTCCCCAATGGTGTCAGCTAGTTAAATATTCAAGGAGCAAAACTCCTTCAACTGAAACTGGAATCATTTAATTCATTGTTGAATTCAATATTTCTCTTTCAAGCCTCCAGTTCAGTCCTTCAAAGCTGGAAGCCTAACTAAAATAAACCAGTACACAAAAAGAGAAATGTAAAGATGTGTAAAATTTCAGTCTCCCTTAAATCTTTCCAAGAAGAGAAAGAAAAACATACAGTTTGATTAACTTTTTAAAATCAAATTTCCCTCCCTGTCTCCTCAGACTGAGTGTCTGTAACCTCTCAGAGAGAAGCTGTGAAGCTCTGTCCTCAGTTCTCAGCTCCCAGTCCTCCAGTCTCAGAGAACTGGACCTGAGTAACAACAACCTGCAGGATTCAGGAGTGAAGCTTCTCTCTGCTGGACTGAAGAGTCCAAACTGCAACCTGGAAACTCTCAGGTAAAATGTTCTCAATCCTGGTGAAACCAGACATCTTTCCATTACCTGTTATCAGAGATGATGTAAATATTATTTCAGTAATGGATCATAATAATATTGGAAGCATGGCTAACCATGCTTAGTCTTGAAACATAAACATGGCCGGTTTTAATTTCATCCCTTCTTACATAAAAGAACAAAGAATAGAGGTATTTAGAAATGTTGAGGTCAGGATCCCACTGATAGTGTAACTGGGACCTGACAGTCTGGTAACAGTCCGGTGCATTATTTCAAATCTTTCCAAGCATCAGTTCTTAGATGTTGTCATCTATTCTATATTTCGCAAATTTTTATTTTATTATCTACAAAACTAAATAAAAAGTGATAAAACTGTGAAAAAGTTTTATCACTTTTTCACAGTATTTATTAACAGATTAAGTATGAGTTCAGACCTTGGTCTCTACCTCCATGTTCTCATTTTCTCATCATGTGATGAATTGTGTGTCTGCAGCTTATCAGGCTGTTTGGTCTCAGAGGAAGGCTGTGCTTCTCTGGCCTCAGCTCTGACCTCCAACCCCTCCCATCTGAAAGAGTTGGACCTGAGCTACAATCATCCAGGAGACTCAGGAGTGAAGCTGCTGTCGGCTGGACTGAAGGATCCACACTGGAGACTGGAAGCTCTCAGGTATGGAGGAACCTGCTGCAGGAGCAGAGAAGGTCTGATATAGGACTAAAAGATGTCTTTAGTCACATTGCTAGAAAAACTAGTTTGAAGTTAACTCTAGTTTGCTAATTAAATATTTAGTTTGACACTATAACATTTATAACAGATTTTAACTTCAGCAGTTGGTGTGTATTTTCATAAAATATATGAAAAAGTGAAGCTAACTATTCACAAGGCA